TACGTTTGTGGTAGTCATTCAACCAGCACTCAATGGCGTTGGTGATTCCGTGGACAAATATTCCGTTTCATTCGGCGCTCCCACAAAATGCTACAGCGTAAACGCAAAAACGAAAGAATGGAAAGGCAGACCCAAATCGTTTTCAACAAGGGTTCCCGGCCCAAAGTCGAACATGGGTGATTCACTCCTTCTCCACTCAAAAACTCTCTAGTTCTCCTCATGCCCCGTCTGTTGCCGCCTGCTCTATTGTGGCTCTCCTTGGAATAGTAACACATGGTATCGAAGGAAGCCTAAGACCTAAATAAACAAGAGACACTCGCAATCGGGCACTACTGCCGAGATTCTAAGAATGGTAGATGTTTCTTCAGCTTTTCAAGGAGAATTAGGGTTTGCACCTGGCACTCGGGTATCTCATCCCTCCTGTTCGAGGAAGGGAATCTCTATGTGCAGTAATAATGCCCCATAAATATCGAACAGCACGTTTCACTTAACGTGGGACAATACTGACGAGAATTGGCCACACCAGCTCGTCATCGCCTTCTCACAAGGGAAGTGTAACATTTGCTGCGCTATATCGATTCCATACATGAAAGTGTAACCTTGGCTCGGTTTCTCTAACTTCACCATCGGTCTCGTGTGACCCAATCCAAATCGTCGGAAATTTTCTTACGAAAATTAATGGTTCGCGGAGAGAAGCGACAATTCTCTGTGGACTTCTCTACGCGCTACGGAATTACTAGTTTTAGTAAAGCACACTTCACACTTGAAATATGTTGTGGAAGCTGATGGATGCTTCAATAGCGTCTTCAACCAGCCACGCATTCCTCCTGGAGCCAGCTTCTGGAAGAGCAACCCAAGGGGAAAAGAATTTGACTCCAAAACACCTACCTGATATAAGCACATCCTCCTTGACGTTAGGATTCCTTTGATCATGGGTAAATGAGGTTTATCCTATCACATCTGTTGAAACATGGCCTACGCTAGCTGGACCCTTTTTTTAAACAAATTTTCGTTTCAACTTCGGGCTCGAAAGCTTTCCGAAGCACTAACGAGCTTTTTGTCGGTTAGAGGATCCATAACACTCCTCCTTGCATGAAATCCCATGTTGCCAAAGGGATCATGTCGAGTCAGGAGAAATATGGAGAGGTTGTATTCTCAATTAGGTTTCACGACCTTCCCCTTATGCTAGTGGACGAGTAAAGGCTTCTTTAACCATTCCAATTCATCAGTTTTAGGGACGCATATACAGCATTTCTTCTGTTCGCAGCAATACTTCCTAGCTATCACTCCCACCCCCCGAATCCGCGGTTCTGGTATACTCTGCATATAAATGTGTCTTTGGAGCCTCCTGGAAAACAGGAATAACGTTCAACCTCACCCAGGCCAGAGCAAGAATCGATTGCAAGTAATTTTTATTTGCAGATTCCCCCCTCCCCGCCTGCTGTCATCTTTTAGGATGCGCTAGTTGAGATTTGCCCAGGATTGTCCGCATGTCAGCGTGACGAAAGGTTGTTTTTCCGAATGCTCAGAGTTTTTCCTGCATAAATAGCATACCTTTTTTATGCCCATTTAAGATTATGAAGACGAAAGCCCACCGTTGCCAAATTTGATATCCAAGTTCCCGGCAAGCTTGCCTGGCCAGTTTCAGTTGATATTGCCAGGTTATATTTCTTTCTTCAAGTGAACATGAATCTAATTTGGGGAAGCTATGACACCATCACCGTTAGATAGAATACGCGCTGAACACAAAATATTTTTATTTAAAAATTAACTAGCCAGTGAGCTCCCATAATCTCCAAGATGGGGGAAATGCCCGGTAGATCAGAGGCTAATCCCAAGGTTAGTTCCCGGCTATCCATTGCCGCCGTTCAAGTAGAGAACCCCTCAAACACGATAGCGTACGCGGACACAAACCACATCCTAAGCAAGGGCCTGGTGTGAAGAAACCGCTAGAATTCACGGGCCCTCATTGACTTTGTTAATCTTTAAAACTCTTATTAGTGCTTATTGGGCGTGGGGAATGTGAACCCTTCCTAGACTACGGAGTACAAAAATGCGCCCAACGATGGGACATATAAGGACCGACTCCGACATATAATTTTTCGATCAGAATTTCACTTTCAGCGACAGCATCAACCAATGGGTTTTCTTATGGTTGAAAATGGCCCGCTGGTTATTTCACAAAGCAAAACGTGATGAACTAGGATATGAATCTCACAAGTCATCCAATTTTCGCAAAACCTACCAATCCACTAAGAATACCATTTAATTCCGTTTGCTAACCGAGTTGAGACATATATAGAAGAGAAAAAGCGGCACAGCATCGCAAAGATCACTAATTCTAAAACCCGTGCCCCTGACGTAGGCGCTCCTATCTAGCCTCTTTGTTCAACGCCGATGTGCTCTGCTGGTAGTTTTGGGGGCCGAGGGGGTCTATACGAGTTTCACCCTGGTAGCAGCACCTGGTGTCGGGGACATCCCTGATATCTCATCGACAAATTTTTTTTTTTTTTTTTTTTTTTTTTTTTTTTTTTTTGTTATTCGTTTTGCCTTTTTATCTTTCAAAAACCACGGGAAATGGCTGGACAGGCTGCTTTGAGCGAGAGTCCAGACTTCTCACGAATCCCAACAATGGCATGGTTGAGGTGGCACAACGGGCATGAAGGAATGGCGTTTTGACGCCCCTGTGTCGTTCCTTTAAAAAGAGGAAAGGCATTTTGTGGTAGTATTTGATGACTCCTGGGTATGTCCTGTAGTTGGCTGCAAGGTAAAGGATGGAGCATTCAGGGGCAACAGCGGTTGCGCAATATGTCTATTTGCAATATGCATGATTTCGGCGGCAAGAGCCCAGAAGTCTCTTTTCTCGCCGCTGTTGTTGTTATTGTTGCTTCTCTGTAAATCTGGAATATCTTCAAGTTCGCAGACTCCATAACATGCCAGTGATCAAGTTGTTGCTGGGGAAAATTTCACCCTAAATATCACGTGAACATGCATTATTATCCCGTCCCTCCTATTGGCTGATGCACCGCTGATCCAGCGTTATCAGCAAATTTGCACTCCCTCAGCAACAACCACTGCCCATTGTAATTTTGATACTCCTTCTCTTCAATTAATTAATTCTATGTCAGTGGCACGATCAAAAACCAAAAGCCATGAAAATCCTCACTGCAAACTTCCTAACTTGCGCCGTAAAGGCTTGCAAGGCCTCCCCAGCTTCTTTCCCCCTCCACTTCTCTGATGCAGAACTCAAGCAGGAAGAGACAGAGTTCCAAGCAGATTTCCTACGCAATATCCTACCGCGGATAGACTGGGACGCATTGGTAGTGACAGCAGGTGAGGTATGTATTTCCCCCCGTCCCCCCTTGTCTGGACCGAAAGTGAAAACAAGCTACAAAGACCCAGCTTATAATTTGATAATAGCTCGGCTTTACCTCCATAGCATCCTCAAAACTCGAAGATGGCGCTCTGGCGGATGAGCGATTACATGAGCTGCACCGATTCCTGCTCGAAACACATGTAGTGGAGGGTAAGCTGGTGTGTGGCAACTGCGGGCACGAGTATCAGATCAAAGAAGGAATTCCAAATTTCTTGTTACCGAGCCATCTTGGTATGTCAATCCATTCTACATCATTTTCCATGTTTCACTCGGTTCATGCACATTACATATTATTTGGATGTCACATTGCTAACTAATATCAATTCTCATGGTGATATATATACCCAGTTTGATAATTAGAAGCAAAAAACAAAATAAAAAAAGTAAAATAAAGGAAAATTAAAATAAAAAACCAACCCATTCTACGCCCATGCCTGAT